GACCACGGGTTCGTCGTGCTTATTCGCATAATGCAAGATAAATATCAACCAAAGTTTTTTGTAGATGGATGGCCTAAATCACAGGACCCCAACTCTAATGGATGACCTAAATTTTATCATATTGAACAAAAACATATGGGAAGACAATCTCATTAACGTGGATCCTGACTATCCGCATCTTATTGACAATGTTGCCCCATACAGAGAAATATTCATACCTTCGGTCATGGCATTGAGGTTCATAGTGATTATGTGAAATATTTATCGTACTTGTACTCCTTAGAAAAAAAAATCAATGTGGATTCTGACGACGAGGACTCTGATGATGACTATGTTACTCTCATGGAAACGATTGATGCGTGAAAAATATTATGTGTGGAGCAGCAATGGTCACAATAAGGCAGGACAAGAAGTATGGCAAACAATACGTTTGTTTTTTATCAGGAAACCACACTATCAGTTCCCTGTCTTTATGGATTATTACGAACGAATCCAAGTGTTAAATCACAATACATCATTATTACATTTTTCATGGAAGTCGAGGTACTACATAAAAATAAATACATTGTTCCTTGCGACGGAGGAGTTTCACAATATGATACTTACTTATGAGGCAGCCTTTAATAGCCCCACACTTGCTAAATCGTTTTGACGCTTTCAAATTTGACTGTTCATGAAACATGTTATAAGGAAAGAGTTAAAATGAAGGGTTGAGTGCTTAGTGCACAATGATGTTCATTATTTTGTTATAATTATGACGTAATCATGGACTATCGAATATCGAAACGACAGATTAGAGGTTGTTCTGGATATAAAAAAGTACACACGTAGGGGGGGGGGAAAAAACAATGACATTTTTTGTTTTCTGATTAGAGATGTTCACAAATATCCTTACTGTGGAACATGACATATTCGAATGAATTTTATAGATTTTTAAGTTTTATATCCTCATAACTAATTATTCCAACGTCAAACTATGTGAAATGATTCATTGGTAGTGCGTTAGCAAAAATCGTCAATAAAACAAATTATCATGATGATATGATAATGATTTATTTTTTTATTTTTTTCGTTCACGTGCTTGACCGTATCCGTTTTTTTTGTACCATGTGCATTTTTTTTTTTTTTTAAATGAGCGTGAACATACGTCCACCGATATTGGTTACCCGAAAATAGAAAAACATGTCTCACCGACCGACTTCATAAAATAAAGAGAATACACACATATAATGCTATGACATGGAACACATTAGGAGTAATACAAACCAATTTGGCAATGTTGTGCAACCAACAAGTTAAACAAACCAGCAATGTTTATAATACTCATACTCTGAGTTAGTATGGATGTCATAGATATAGTTTTTTTTCATTATTTGTTACTTTTGATGATAACATTTGTTATTTTGAAGTACATCGAACAACTATCGGATTCATGGTTTTATATCGTAATAAATGCAAGTAATATATCTTGGAGGATTGAAGTGTTTTGCACTGTAAAAGGAAAGCAAAAACAGAAGCATACCTTTTATAACATAACAATTGCGAACATCACCCCAATTGCAATACCTATAGCGACAACGATTACAACGAATTATAAAACATTTTTGTACTACTACGAGTCAATAGTATTGTGAACTTCGCGGTTGTAAAATGTTTGTAGTTGTCATAAGGTTCACGGAGATCGACATATATGATATGCGCATTTATGAAAAGGAGGAAAACTAATAAATTTGTAGGATAAAGCAGAATGTCATGAAACAGCTCTACAAGTTCGTGAATCAAAAAAATGAATCTGTACGTAAAAAACTTGGAGGTTGGTCTGCTTTTACAATGAAGTTTAAGAGCATGCTTTAACCACCTATCATGAGATGTATGTTAGAGGGCTCACAATACAAAACACTTTGAATTTTTATGGTGGATGCAATGAAGAGGATTTGTGGGCATTCGTAATGATAACCGGGCATAATATATGTAGAGATATATGAAAAACTTTCAAAATACTATATTAACTAAAAGTGGTAACCGTTTTTGGTAGACAGTTTAAAGATCATATAGCAATGGATGATGTTATCTTAAATTATGAAGAATTTATGGTTTATTTATTGTATAAACATCGTCAAAAGTATCACAAAATTCATAATTTTTATGTCAAATAAAAAAGTAATTAAAAAATAATCTGCATTTAGATGTCATGATGTGTGCAAGATTTAAAAGCGTACGAGTATTTCAAAGTATTTTTATATATACAGCGAAGGTAAAAAGATAAAAAAAATGAGGTACCTTTTTACGTCGAAGTTCGAACATTAATAATATACAAACACCGTTAAGAATTTGATTAAATATTATTCGAAGTTGCAATGAATCGAAATCCAAATCAAATTATAATACATTTTCAACATGGTGAGACATTAATTTCCTCACGATAACTAAGGATTTGTTTTTTTTAAATAACAAAAATCATAGAAGTTCCTAGGCTGTTTTTCTGGGCGCCCGGGCACCCAACTTATGCTTGAATACACGCCCAGACATAAAAATCTTCCTATAGAAGTTCTTCAAATTTCAATTTATGTATAACTAAAAAACGATAAACCCTTTTTTAAACAAAAAATTGCTTCCAATTTGAGGCAGTTTCACCGTGTTTTCCGGTTAATAAAATCGAGGTGAATTAGTTTAACTGCGTCAAAACCTAGGCTACCAGCCGGGCTGCCCGGGTCCCGGGTGGCCATCCCGTGCAAGGGAAGGTCCCAAAAAATAAAAAAAATAAAAATCGAAAAAATCCACAAAAAAACTACGTTATGCAAAAAAATAAACTGAATAACTTTTGCGCCAAGGTCACATCGAAATTCTTCACCAAATTCAAAATAAAAAATAAATTTAAAATATATATACATATATATATCGTCAAATATATATATTATGGTTTTGGACCGGCCGGGCAAGTGACCCCGGGCCACTCTGGTAGCCTAGGTCAAAACACAAAAATATGCTAGAAAAAAAGAGTTTCAATTTCGTTCGAAAAATAAAATATGTTTGTTTTCACGAAACCGTAGTTATAGCTAACCACATAGGAGCTTAGTGGGTGCATGTGCTCATGATCATTTTTCTACGAAGACTTCTGAGGCGATGGTGTTGACTGTTGCCTTGCATAGGAGGGTCTGTGATAAGCATCTGAAGGACAAGATAGCCATTGGAGAAGGGTTCACAGGAAGGAGAGAGTACATGCAATGGGAGAATACAATGTTCAAGCTGCTACTCACTCTTGAATATTGTACTCTCATTCCTGCGTCTGAACATTGTACTCTCGCGTTCCCCGTCGAAGAAGAGAGTACATGGAGAGAGTACTTGGCATGAGAGAGTACAACGTTTAAGTTGCTACTCCCTCTTGCCAATGAACATTGTACTCTCCTTGCCCTCCATTTGAGCATTGTACTCTCATTCCCCGTTGAAGAAAGGTTTGCAGGAAGAGAGTAAATGGAATGAGAGAGAACAATGTCTCCAAGAGTACATACTCTTGTTTTTCTTCTTCGCACAATGTTGTTCTTTGTTATCTCATTTCAATTTTTTATTTTATTTTTATGTTACCGAGTTACCATTGATTTGAGCCCCATG